CTACTACAACTACTGCTACTACTACTACTACTACTACTGCTAGTACGACCACTACTACCACTGCTCCTACTACTACTACTACTACGACGACTACTACTACGACGACTACTACTACTACCACTATTTCTACTACTACTACTACTACCACTACTACTACTACTACTACTACTACTACTACTACTACGACTACTACTACTACTACTACTACTAATACGGCGACTACTACTACTACTACTACTACTACTACTACTACGACTACTACTACTACTACTACTTCTTACTACTACTACGACTATTACTACTACTACTACTACTACTACTACTACTACTACTACTACTACTACTACTACTACTACTACTACTACTACTACGGGGCGTCTGGGGCTCGTCTCAAGTTGGGCGCGCCCCCCTACCGGGGGATTGTATGCGACAAAAATAAAAAATATCAAAAATTACTCCGACGGAAAAACCCCACATAAAAATCCTCTGGGCGAATCTGGAAAAAACCATCACCGTCGTCCTCGTGGTTGGTGAGGCGTCCTGGCTGTCTCTTCTGCGTATATGTCCTCTCGCCTTGGCGCGGGCCCCCCTTCCACTCCTTACGTTGTCCCCATCCTCGCCCCCCTGTTTGTTCCGCGCCCCGCCACCTCCTCCCCTTCCTGTTGCATGAGCGCGCATGTCGATGTTCCTCGGCGCCGTCGCCGCCACGGCCAGCGCAGGCGCGTTCTCTACTGGTCACGTCGCGCAGCCGTTGGGACAACCCCGCGGGCCAGGCTGTCGGGACAACCCCGCGAGCCGTTGGCGCGCAAGACCAAGCCGTTGGGACAACCCCGCGGGCTTCGAGCGAGGCGCAGCCGCGCTCAGGCGGAAGGCAGCACGAAGCCCAGCTCTGCCGCGAGCTGCTTCGCCTCCGCCCTGGACAAAACCGCTCTCTTGTCGAACTCCAGGAGCGCCTTCCGCAGAGACGCCGGCGGCCCGCACTCCAGGAACTCTCGCGGCGGCGGCCGCAGGATCAGCATGTTCCGCACGCACGTGGCGCGGGAGAACATGACGTAGAGGTGCAGCCGCCACTGTTCGTCCGACATGCCCGTGCGGCCAGTGTCCTCGTCTCTCGCGCAGTCGATGGTGACGCCCTTGCGCAGCGTCTGGCCCTGCGACAGCGTGGAGGTCAGGTAGGACGCGTGCGTCAGGGTGAACCCCGAGCGGCGCACGCTGTGCGCCCCCGAGCTCTGCCATGTGAACTCCCTTTCGCTGGGCCTGAACATCAGCAAGCTCCGCGCCCGCGCCTCGGCCTGGCCGTCGTCGTCGGCGCCTTCGGCGCTCTGTCGCAGCACCTCGGCGACCTCCTGGTGGATCGGAGACTCCTTGAAGCCGTGCACCTGCAGCCAGATTCCTGACCCGCTCGGATTACCAACATGATCTGCGGGCCCCATAGGGAGGGGGCTCCCGCCTGAGACTTCCTCAGCATTCACTCACAGACGAGGCTCCCGCCTGAGACTTCCTCCAAATTCAGGCTTGAGGAGCCCAAAAGTGACGACAGTTACAGGGTTCCGATGACCCGCTCGGATTACCAACATGATCTGCGGGCCCCATAGGGAGGGGCTCCCGCCTGAGACTTCCTCACAATTCACTCAGAGACGAGGCTCCCGCCTGAGACTTCCTCCAAATTCAGGCTTGACGAGCCCAAAAGTGACGACAGTTACAGGGTTCCGATGACCCGCTCGGATTACCAACATGATCTGCGGGCCCCATAGGGAGGGGGCTCCCGCCTGAGCCTTCCTCAGAATTCACTAACAGACGAGGCTCCCGCCTGAGACTTCCTCCAAATTCAGGCTTGAGGAGCTCAAAAGTGACGACAGTTACAGGATTCCGATGACCCGCTCGGATTACCAACATGATCTGCGGGCCCCATAGGGAGGAAGCTCCCGCCTGCGACTTCCTCAGAATTCACTCACAGACGAGGCTCCCGCCTGAGACTTCCTCCAAATTCAAGCTTGAGGAGCCCAAAAGTGACGACAGTTACAGGATCCCGATGACCCGCTCGGATTACCAACATGATCTGCGGGCCCCATAGGGAGGGAGCTCCCGCCTGAGACTTCCTCCCAATTCACTCACAGACGAGGCTCCCGCCTGAGACGTCCTCCATTTTCAGACAATTACATGATCCCGATGACCCGCTCGGATTACCAACATGATCTGCGGGCCCCATAGGGAGGGGGCTCCCGCCTGAGACTTCCTCACAATTTACTCAACGATGATGAGGATGAGGATGATGAGTGGTGGTGAAAATGAGTGGTGAAGAGGATGATGATTGATTGTGAGTGGTGGTGGCGATGATGATGTTTGAATGAGGATGATGCCGATGCCGATGATGATGATGATGTTCGTGAGCGTGTGAGAGAGTGCGAGTGATGCTGATGATGAGTATGTGAGTGACTAAGCATGTGAGAGAGCATCATCGATGATGCTGATGAGGTTGATGATGAGAGAGTGTGAGTGAGTGTGAGTGTGTGTGTGTGTGTGTTCCTGTTCCTGCGCGGGGTGTCCAGAGAAAACAAGAACCCCACTTTGGATGTGGGGAAAAACTTCCTTGTTGCATCCAGAATGTGGCCTGGGAGCTGCGTTCTGGCAGCGCGAGAACCCAACATTGACGACAGTTATAGGTTTTGGATGACCCGCTCGGATTACCAACATGATCTGCGGGCCCCATAGGGAGGGGGCTCCCGCCTGAGACTTCCTCGCAGTTCACTCACAGACGAGGCTCCCGCCTGAGACTTCCTCCATATTCAGGCTTGAGGAGCCCAAAATTGACGACAGTTACAGGGTTCCGATGACCCGCTCGGATTACCAACATGATCTGCGGGCCCCATAGGGAGGGGGCTCCCGCCTGAGCCTTCCTCAGAATTCACTCACAGACGAGGCTCCCGCCTGAGACTTCCTCCAAATTCAGGCTTGAGGAGCCCAAAAGTGACGACAGTTACAGGTTTCCGATGACCCGCTCGGATTACCAACATGATCTGCGGGCCCCATAGGGAGGGGGCTCCCGCCTGAGACTTCCTCAATTCACTCACGACGAGGCTCCCGCCTGAGACTTCCTCCAAATTCAGGCTGGAGCTCAAAAGTGACGACAGTTACAGGTTTCGATGACCCGCTCGGATTACCAACATGATCTGCGGGCCCCATAGGGAGGGGGCTCCCGCCTGAGACTTCCTCACAATTTACTCAACGATGATGAGGATGAGGATGATGAGTGGTGGTGAAGATGAGTGGTGAAGAGGATGATGATTGATTGTGAGTGGTGGTGGCGATGATGATGTTTGAATGAGGATGATGCCGATGCCGATGATGATGATGATGATGTTCGTGAGCGTGTGAGAGAGTGCGAGTGATGATGATGATGAGTATGTGAGTGACTATTCATGTGAGAGAGCATCATCGATGATGCTGATGAGGTTGATGATGAGAGAGTGTGAGTGAGTGTGAGTGGGTGTGTGTGTGTTCCTGTTCCTGCGCGGGGTGTCCAGAGAAAACAAGAACCCCACTTTGGATGTGGGGAAAAACCCAAAATGGTAAAACGAATGCTCAAAACATCGCCCCCAGACTATCAGTTGTTTTACAAGTTTTGAATTTCCCTCCTGTAGAGGGACGAGCCCGACTTAAGGCTCGTCGCCGCGAGAGGGGAGTGCCCCTCCCGGTCTTCCCCCCCGCCCTCGAGGAGGGGGTATCGACGACAGAGCTGATTCACCCCAAGCTCGTGTTTTCACCCCGGGTCTTCGAAGAGGAAGGCGCAGACTGCCCCGGAGATCAGCGAGCTTCGATCTCACGGGAAGATGGCTCTTGGGGCAAATCCGTTCTGTAGTCGATTTCCTACTCGACCCCTCCATTCCCATTTTCACGGGAAAAAGATCTTTGGGGTAAATCAATTCTGTAGTGGATCTCCTACTCGACCCCTCCCTCTGCTTTCTCCCTCGTCGCTGTCGTCCTCCTCGTCGGGCGGTTCGTCCCCCCGTGGGAGCGCCCCGATCCTGGTTCCTCGCGCTACTTGCCGTCGCTCAAGCGTCCATTTCCCGTGCACGTTTTGGTCTCGTGCGTCTACTTCGTCGTGAGAGGATCCAGTTCCTCGCACCTCGCCATCGCTCGGACGCCCATTATCCCCGTGTACTGATCCATTCCGTGCGCTCCTCTTTTTGCGTACGAGGGTCCGATATGCTCCTCGATGGCCCTCGCCGAGAAACAGTGCACACGTCCGAGCAATGCCAAGGCACAGGCTGGCACCTGCGTCTCGGGAGCGTCCAAGAGGGGGGGCGTCCAAGAGAGGGGGGTGCAACTCATGGCCCAAGGGGCGGCCGGGGACGTAAGGAAATCAGAAGGGGCGCCATGAAATCTGGGGAGGCATCATGGCCCCCACCATGGTATCCACCCCCCCCCCTTCGTCATCACCCCCCTCCTGGCCGCCCCCGACACCTGCGTCGTGCTTCCGCCAAGCGGCGAGCCAAGACCGGGACGGGCCCACACGGGCGTCGAGTGCCCTTGTCGGGCTCCCGCCTGGACGAATCCCGCCCCTCGACTGCGATCGCCTGCGCCCGCGCAAGGATCTTGAGACATGAGATATGGGCGTCGTCCCACCCGTATGAGGAAAATCGTGGAGGCCTCGCGCAGCAACCTGAGACCCGATTTACGTCGGATCCACGTCGGACTTACGTCGGGTTCACCTCGGACTACGTCGGACTTACGTCGGATCTACGTCGGACTGACTGCGGAGCATCGCCGCGCGAGCGTCGACACGTAGCTGACGGAGCCCACGTGTGGACTAGATCTCACTACTATTACGCGCCGCGCGAGGCCTCCAGGATGTCCTCATAACCCAAAGACCCAGGAGACCTGAGATCCGGGCGTCGTCCTACTCCTCCTCCTCCTCCTCCTCCTCCTCCTCCTCCTCCTCCTACTCCTCCCCTGCTTCGCAGCATGGCACGAGAGCGGAAAGCAGCGCGGGCCCTGCGTGTCCGGTCAAGGTTCGGACGCAGTCGCCCGTGCTCAGGTCCCAGACCCTGACGAGATCGGGGGCAAGAGGAGAGGGAGGAAGGGAGACGAGAAGACAGAAGCACCGCGAATGGTCTTGGGAAAATGCCACATTCAGACAAGATCGTGCATTCGGTGGCACCTCAAGAGGGTGCGAGGCCGCCTTGGATCCCCGCGTCGAGAGGGAGCCACTCAGTCGCGAAGGGACTCTACAACAATGTTCATACACGGGAGATTCCCAAGAATACACCGGCAACACGAGAAGAGAAAGACGCGGGAAGAGCGGGGAGGGAACCTCATCAAACCACGCGCTTTCGGCACGGAGGGACGTGTGATAATTATTGTCCGTTGTCCAGGAAGGTACCTGTAGTTTTCTACAGGGCTCGACCTAAACAGAGATTTCTGATTTCGTTGTGTTGTCGTTCTCCCTCTTTATGTTTTCGTCCCGCCTTCGCTGCGAAACGACACCAAAACGAAAACGGTTCACGAGATCGCTAAAACACTGTTGAGGTCGAGCTCTGGTTTTCAAGTTAGGAGGAGCGACAAAGCGGCGTGAACATAAGCTTTTGGCGGTCCGCGCGGATTCCTTGGATCCGCACTGGACCCCCTCCCTGGCACGCGGAGCGCGCCAGGAGCGGCGCCGGAGGCGCTGCTGGGTGGAACCCAGCGCGGATCCAAGAAACCCGCGAGGAGACTAGTCACGGCGCAAGGATACAAGAACCCAGCGCCAAACTTTTATGCTCATGGCGACTTGTCGAAGAAAGGCTTCTGGAAGTCCCCGCGTACCTGGCACATGCGGCATCACCGAGTCGTGCCCCCCCGGCTGTGCCCTCCCCCGCTCCGCCTGCTGCCTCAGCCTCCACACGGCGCCCCAATCAACGGCCGCAGGACCAGCCCAGCCGCGCGAACGGGGGCACCCACATGCTCCGAGACCCCTCAAGATGCCCCCCAAGAGGACGCAAGAATCCTCCAGGCGACGCCCCAAGAGACGTCCAGCGAGGCCATATCAAAAAGCGAACCGCTCTGAGAAAATCCTGAAAACCGATGCTTTCCGGGTTCGGATCGGCCAGGGAAGACTCTGAAAGGGCTCGAGGGATCCCCCCGGAGGGCCCCAACCTGCTCAATCACATCACCAAGATGACCCGAGTGCTGCCAGAGGACCCTCCAAGACGGCCCAAGTGAGACTCCCAAATGGCCCCGAGACTCTGCCCGGCGTCCCCAAGACGGCTCGACCGAGTCTTCTCGGTGGGACCATCGCGCTCAAGACGGCACCAAGTCGGAAACTGGGCAAGGGCTGGCAAATCCGAGACTGCTAAAACGGTCTTCTCAGAAGAAACAAACAACTAAAACTCAGCGCGCTAAATAGTAAACGGACTGCTTTCCAGAAAAACAAAAACAATTTCCCGGAGGGTTTGCCAACCTTCGCCTGGCTTCTGACCGAGATCTTCGGCGAGCCCCCCCGCAGGCCACCAAAGAGGCCTCCCAGAGAGCTCCCCCGAGAAGCACCGAAAAGAGGCCCTCGCGATGCTGCCATGAGAGGGGGGGGGGAGCATGATGCGGCGCGAGGGTAGATGGGGATTTCCCGAAGCTGCGGACAAACAGGACGCTCTCCTGTGCACGAAAGACTGCACATGAAAACTCGGAATCATGTAGTTGCGCTACATTTGGGAACTTACAAACATTGAATACAAAACTCTGAATCATACTTTCAAAATATGCAAATGAAGAACTTTGAAAAACAAACTTAGAACGACAAATTGCGAAATCATGTGAACGCCAAATGTCCACAAACCTTATGTGCACTCTTCCGTGCCAATTCAGAGGGGGCACTGAACAAGGAGCTGGTCCGAAACACATCGGTCCGGCTGCGCTGCTGCGCTGCCATGGTGGCGGTGCTTGCCGCAGGTCGCTGTACATATCATAGACCCCCCGAAACTTGCGGATAAGAGTAAAGGGGGTCGTCGGCGATGTGTGACGATCGAAAGTCTTTTTGAAGAAGCCGGCCGCAGGCGCCGACTCAATCATATCAATCAAAGAAGCCACCGCATGCGCAAGTCTTTGTTCGTTGGTGTTTATTGTTGTTTCCCTGTTTTCCCCTAGGGCTGACCCAACCATTGTCTGCAAACATTTATTCCCGAACCGTTGCGGAACCCGTCGTTTTGAACATCTGTGACTCTCCACAACCGATCGGCCATTGACAGGGCCCTTGGGGCCTTGGAAATCGCGAACCGATGGATCCGAACCGTTGGTGGAAAGTTTGCGCACATCCGAACACGAACATTCTTCTCCACCCTTCCGAACACATTACAGGGCACGCCTAGGTTTCCCCAAGCAAAGTTTCCACTTAGCCCTTCCCTGGTCTTGCCAAATACAGTCGGAGCGTTGACCTAAGGAACGATACATAAGGAACGCGGCCCCTTTTTTCCCATAAAAGTTGAACTCCGATCCTCCATGGGAAACCTCAGGAAAACACCCAAGGAGCACTGCAAAACAACTAAGGAACACGGAGCGCCTCCCAAACGAGAAGGGTTCCTTCTTCAGCGGCCCGACTGTAATTTCGCGGATGGCCAGACCTCCCTTTAGCAAAACGTGGCTTAGTGAAAACGACCTCGGGCCCAAACCTGGAGGGCGCAAGCCTGGAAAATGACGGCCGCGGCGCCCTCTCGAGAACCGAAAACGGACAATCCACTAATCGACGTGTCAGGGCAGGAGGTCTGTCCACCCCCGAGAATTGCGCGTGTCCGCCGAGGCGGACCCGCGGTCGCGCCCAGAGGCGCCCGGCACCCCGGGTGGGCCCGTCGAGGGTCCGACGCGCTCGCGCCCCGCGCCGGCGGGCACGCTCGGGGACGCACCGTGGGCAGTGCACAGCGTGCACAGCACAGCTCCCACGGCTCGGCTGTCCCCGCAGGGCGTACACGACGCAGCTCACATCGCACAGCGCACGCCGCCTCACTGGCGAAGCACGACTCGCCCCACACAAACCACGGCACATCGTTTTTAAAACCGGCAGATCTTGCGCCACACAGCTTGCACGACATAGCCTGCACCGCATGACTTGCACCGTGCAGCTATCACTCCGCAAAACAATACCTCAATGATTGGGGTCAATGCTGGCCTACATGTTCTATCAAAACAATATGGGTGGCTCGCGGGTGATTTGCGTCGCGGGATGCGGGTGTGTCGCGTCACGGGTCGGTCGAGAGAGGGTTGACTGCAACACTCATAACCATTAGTTTGATACTGCTCGCTATCCATTGCTCGCGTGTCACCCAACATGTCTATTTACCACCGAACGCTCGATACTCGCCATCCGCGTCTTCGATCGTGTCCGATCTTCTTCGTCTGTCACGTGCAGTTGGCGGGAGCCCCAACATAGGAAGGGGAGAAAGAAGGAAAGAGGGGAGAGAGCGACGAAGGGAGGAAACGATCAGCGAGGGCCGAACAGCGGTACAATAGAAGCTCGACCACAAGAAACCTTCAGCCACAACACCCAACCCTGAGACCCCAAGACTTCCATTGATGTTTGGTGTGGGAACGTGACGCTTTCCATAGCCAAACCATCAAAACCCGAAAGACCCAGGGCACATTGGAGGCAAGCAATGTGTCTCCTGGCATGGGTTTCCACTGTAAGACTCCCCGGAAGGTGGTGATTGCCACCCCACGTGACAATCTGGAAAGGATCCCTGCCTCATTCCGCCTTGCCTTCCAACTCGTCGCTCTCCTCCGTCTCCTTCTCCTGCTCATCCTCCGCCCTGCTCGAGACTCACTCGCGCATTCCATCCGAGCCACTGTAGCAATTGCAGGTAATTGAGAGAGCGCGCTCTCTTCGAATGTCTCGGAGAGCCTCACAGCGTTGTCTTGGGCTCCGCTTACCTCGCTGCAGGCTATATGGGAAAGGCAAATCATTCACTCTAAGGTCACCCCAAAGAGCGCGCCGACGAGCACACTGCACTCGGACCAGACAGCCAACATCAGGAACATGGAGGAGCAAATGATCATGGTGCGTCGAATGGTCACGCTCTCGACGAGGTGTAATTGCAAGAGGTGGGCACGAGAAGGGCTGCAACGAATACGTGCGAGCTGCCAAGTTAACAAACGTGCTGTGCGGCTCCCGCGCAGGCAGTGTGTACCCCCACAGAAGCCGAGGAAGGGACAGCGCACTATGTGTATATATATATATATAAAGAGAGAGAGAGAGAGAGAGAGAGAGAGAGAGAGAGAGAGAAAAAAAAAAAAGAGAACCCACCCAAAAACGGGTGCACAAGAGCGCTGCGACCCCTGCGTGCTTCCGAGACGTCTGAGCACCTCTCCTCGGCAGAACTCCTCGATCCTCCCCCTCCCTGCTCCGACAGATCGTGAGGGGGCCCAGGAGGTGAGGGGCCGGCCCGGGGACTGCGGGTGGACCCCGCTGCTGGGGGGCCCAGGGGTGGCCCATGGAGGATCTCTTCTCCGCATCGTGCTGAGACATCGGTCTGTTCGGCTTCGGGGGGCCCTTTGGCCCCCGCGGCTGGACGCGGCTCGGAAAACTGACCAGGGTTCGGCGACTCCGAAGGGTGTTGTTTGCAAAGGGTGTGGTTTGCAACCGGCACCCTGAGGGGCACCCTGGGAGGCGGGCGAGGACCTCGACAGATCTCTCCGCCGCGCCCCGAGGAGGCCCGACGAGGACAATGTCGTGCCCCCCTTTGCCCCGACGGTGCCGATCGCAAACCACACCCCGGCGTAACCACCACACCCCTTGCAGTCGCCGAAGGGTAGGCCCGGCCCAAGGGGCGGGAGGTCTGGGGATCGGGTCCGGGTGGATCTTGGCAGGGGGAGTGGTCAACGCGGGCAGGACCACCGAGTGGAGATCTGGGAGCAGGACTGCCCTCCGCTCCTGCGAGGGGGAGACCGCGGCACAGCAGAGGGGGAGGCGCCCCCCCTCCGTTTCCCAGGGTGGGTTAGAAGGAGC